GGTACTAGAAGTTCGTAAAATTCAGTAGATGTTTTATAAAAACAAGCCTTTCGACCGTGTGACGTCGACGGCCTGAAGCTGGCTGGCTGTTTATCTGGCTCAACTTGGCATCGAACGCAATTAGGGGATTATCGTATCATGTTTCAAGACGGGTATCTTAGCGGAAAGAGTTCACCCAGATGTAAAACGATTGCTTTCAACTCGGCAGAGATTATATTTGGCCCGTCAGATCAGCTCTATAATTTGACCCTTTAAACAAATTAATTAAGAACCAGGGACATATTATATATTGTATCTGGAAACTCGTATACATAAACATCAACATTTTTAAAATATTGTATTGCATAAATACGGTATAATCAATATCTATATAACGCCTAATGTTAAGAAAATCTAGGCGCTGGCGTATTGGGTTTTATCGTCTATTCGTATAAGCCTACTTATTTTACTTGATAATAAACAACTAGTGAACCAAAGAATAGTGCTTATAAAAATACATTTCGATTGTCCTGCAAATAATTAAAGTTATATAGGACTCTATATATGACGCCAAGTTCTATCTCTGTTTTGTTCTGAGCATTGTGTTTCGTTTCGTCAATATATGACATATATTATATCCGGAAACTCGTGTACATAAGCTAAACATCGACATGTTTTAAATATTGTATTGCATAAACTTTGTAGGCCTACTCGTGTGTTTATTTAACAAAGAAGCATCTCGTTATTATTGTTATTATTTAATTACAGGCCATAATAACCTGTCACACTCACAATGATCAGTTTACATTTCATTTATCAGTGATTATGGACATAGGCGTAGATCCCGGGGGGATGGGGGTATATCCGCCAATATTTGACAAGGGGTGATGGTCCATTGTATCATCCCCGCCCCATATTTTGACTATGTATGGGATTAAATGGAGTTTTACACACTTCAAAAGACTGTCACAGAAATAACTTGCACTGTCTTATGCGCTTACAAAGATGAAAATTAGCATAATGTATTAATGTTGATAACAAAATTATTTTATCTGGTACCAATCTAAGCTCTTCTTTCCTTTGATGTGCTTGCAAAGAGAGCCACATTTCACACTCAAGGGTGTGTACAACATCAGTAATGTTATGTCAATTCCAAGAATGTTTAAGGTTATATCGGTTGATGAGGAATTTATTGATTAGGCCTATAATAGCAAATTGCATCAATTTATTTTGCAAAAAGAATTCCAGCTTCAG